CGTTGACATGAGCTATTTAGTCGAGTGAGCAAACGTAAACAAGTGGATGGCCGACCGGCTTTGTGAAGCAGAAATAATAAAAAAGTAAGTTTTTTATACACTTTTCATTAAAATTTTTTACTCATTTGTAAGCTTTTTATAGCAGGAATGTCATCCTCACCTTTTTTCTTTGTTAACGTCTATTTAGAATACTTATTTGGCAATAATTTAGGCATACTCAAACGGTAAAATACTTTTAGGTTATGTCAGAGGTTTTAGTTTTAAACTTAGAAGACCCCGCTGCTTAAGTCGTACCTGTGCAAAATTCCTTACTCGTACCGGTACGACTTAGGTATTAAGTAAGAAAAATGTTCAATAATTTACATTATTTTTTACCAGGTAATAAATATGGCGAAGAGAAAGTACAATACTTGGAAGCAGGAGGATATGAACGAAGCTTTACAGAAACATCGGAATGGAGAAATTGGATTTAATGAAGCCTGTAGAAGATTTAATATACCAAAGCCTACACTGCGACGATATTTGAAGGGTTTGAATAAAAGAACAAAATTTGGAAGACCTAATGATATGTCACCAGAAATGGAAGAAATATTAGCACAGCATTTGGTGAATTTAGAGTCTTGTTTCTTCGGATTAACTGCCACTGAGTTCAGGAAACTTGCCTTCGAACTTGCTGAAAAATTTCAACTACCTCATCGTTTTAACAAGGAGAAGAAAATAGCAGGCAAAAAATGGTATTACAGGTTTATGAAAGAGCATCCTACTTTGTCCTTGCGTGTTCCAGAACCAACCTCGATGGCCAGAAGTAAAGGGTTTAATAAAGAGCGAGTTAATGAATTTTTTGATAAGTACGAAGAAATACTGGATAGATACAAGTTTGCTGCACACCAAATATATAATATGGACGAAACTGCATTGTCTACCGTTCACAAACCTTCCAAAGTTGTTGCTCAAAAGGGAAAACACCAAGTGGGTGCAATCACAAGTGGAGAAAGAGGTCTGACTACAACAGGCATATGCGCGATGAATGCAGCAGGCGAATTTATACCACCCATGTTAATATTCAAGCGTAGCAGACTGAATGATGCCTTAAAAAAAGGAGCTCCACCAAACACAGAATTTGGTTGCTCTAAAAATGGTTGGATAACATCAGAACTTTTTGTTCAATGGCTCCAACATTTTATTAAGTGCACAAGATTAGAAAAAAGTGATCGAAAACAAATTTTGCTTGTACTAGATGGTCATAGCACACATACCAAAAATTTGGAAGCGATCCAGATGGCTCGCGATTATGGCATAGTAATGCTATCTTTTCCTGCTCACACGACACATCGCCTACAACCGTTGGACAGATCCTTCTTCAAATCATTGAAAAGCTGTTACAATGAAGCCGCATCTTCGTGGCTACGCTCAAACCCTGGTAGTGTCATAAAGCAAGCCAACGTCGCAGAGTTGCTTGGAAAAGCATATCCTAGGTCAGTTCGAATGGATATCGCACTAAATGGTTTTAAAGCAACAGGGTTGTGGCCATGTGATAGAAATGTCATTAAAGAAGAAGATTTTGTGGCTTCTGTATATATTTCTGATCCATCAAATCAAGAGTTT